TTGGCTTAAAGCTCAACATTCAGAAAACTAAGATCATGGCATCTGGTCCCATCACTTCATGGCAAATAGATGGGGAAACAGTGGCTGACTTTATTTTTCTGGGCTCCAAAATCACTGCAGATGGTGATGGCAGCCATGAAATTAAAAGACACTTACTTCCTGGAAGAAAGTTATGACCAACCTAGATAGCATATTAAAAAGCAGAGACATTACTTTGTCAACAAAGGTCCATCTAGGCAAGGCTATGGTTTTTCCAGTGGTCATGTATGGATGTGAGAGTTGGACTATAAAGAAAGCCGAGCGCTGAAGAATTGATGCTTTTGAACTGTGGTGTTGGAGAAGACTCTGGAGAGTCCCTTGAACTGTAAGGAGATCCAACCAGTCCATCCTAAAGGAGATCATTCCTGGGTGTTCATTGGTGGAACTGATGTTGAAGCTGAAACTCCAATACTTTGGCCACCTGATGTGAAGAGCTGACTCATTTGAGAAGACCCTGATGCTGGGAAAGATTGAGGGCAGTACGAGAAGGGGATGACAGAGGATGAGATGGTTGGATGGCATCACTGACTCAATGGACATGAGTTTGAGTAAACTCTGGGAGTTGGTGATGGACAGGGGGGCCTGGCGTGCTGCGGTTCAATGGGGTCGCAGAGAGTCAGACACGACTGAATGACTGAACTGAACTGGTGGCTCAGTGATACAGAATCTGCCTGCAATGCAGGAAACATGGGCTCGATCCGAGTCAGGAAGATCCCTTGGAGTGGAAGTGACAACACACACCAGTATTCTTTCTTGGGAAATCCCATGGACAGAGGTGCCTGGTGGGTACAGTTCATGGGTTCACAGAAGAGTTGGACACAACTTCTCAACTAAATAACAAAACATCATAATTTTTGGTGATTTCCATTCTTTTTTTTTTTTTTTTTTAAACATCCCACTTCTGTTTATTCCGGAGAACATTAAGATAAATACACCTAAATATTACAAACTTTTTATATACAAGAATGAACACTCCCCCACAATTCTGAAAAGTGGTCTGAAAAAAAAAAAAACCCAAAAAATATAGTCTCCCAATTTCCATTCTTATTGTTGGGCATTTAAATTGATGTCCAATTTTTTGTTGTAATCTTCAGTGAACACTTTCATAGATACTCCCCCCTCACTTATCTATTTAGATGAATTCATAGAAGTAAGATTCCTGGGCCTCGCTTATCTATTTAGGTAAATTCCTAGAAATGAGTTTCCTGGGCCATTATAATAGTATGTATATTGCTAATTTTGATCCAAATTTTTTTTCCAAAATCATATTATACTATCTTCTTTTTCTCTAGGCTTCAACCACACTTGCCTCTTTAGTAGCCTTCAAATGCTCTGGCTCCTTTCTGCCTCAGGGCCTTTATGTTAACACATGCTCTTCTTTCCACCTGGAGGGCTCTTACCTCCCTCCACTTCTTACTTAGGCAGTTCCCACCCAGCCACTCAAGGTTCATCTTAAAAGTGTCAGGACCTCAGAGAAAGCTGCTCTGATCCACTAGGGAATAACCCACATTATTCCCTTTATAGCACTATGTTTCTTTTCTTTATTGCTTAAACTCCATTTCTAATTGCAGCATTTCATAACGTAATATCTGCCTTCTCCACCAGAGAAATCCCATGAGGGCAAGAATCTTTTCAGTTCTGTTCACTGTTGTACACCCAGCACCTAGCAGCTAGGTGCTCAATGAGCATTTTGTTATAATTTATTTCTTAATTGAAGGATAATTGCTTTACAGAATCAGTGAGTATTTTTGGAATAAAATTATGTTGCCATGTTCCTCATTAGATAAAGAGAACCAATATATATTCTTAAGAAGTATGACTTTTGGTTGATTTTTTACAGTTAAATTAAGATGGCAGGGATTTAACTTGATTTTTTTCCCAGTTAGCCATTTGTCCCATATCCTACATTATTATGTAATTCAGTCTTTTCTCACTTTAAAATATTATAGTTAGTTATAATAAATTCTTAAATCTCTTTCTGGACTTCCTTTTTTGGTACATTGCTTTGTCAACCTAGGCACCATGACATACTATTTTAATCATTTTTGCTGTATAGTATATAATTACTTGATAGGCACATTCTACTGCATTAACTTTTGTTTCTATCCTGTGTTCTCCCAGGTAAAATTTTGACTATCTTCCTAAGTTCCAAAGAAGAAAACTCTATTGAAATTTTATTGAATGTACAAAGTAATATTTAGTATTGCCATCTACAAACATGCTTTGTTCTATCCTTTTCAATATTTTATCATTCATTGATCCTGAAAATTACTAAATTTTATTCTTAGGGATTTTTTTTTATTGCTGTCAGGATAAAATGTTTTTTCTTATTATATCTTATATGTGTTAATTGATGACATAGTGAAAAAACTAATTTGGGGTTTTGTATTATTATTTGTTTTGTACTTTTCTCATAAGTTTTCAGTTCTTTTAGGTTTTTAAGATAAACCAATAACAACTTGTCACAAACCACTTTTAGTATGTTTATTCCAGGATGGAAATATTTCAAAGCTCTCATATTGTTCTAGGTTATATTTGTAGTTTGAGATTAGGCATAAATATCTTATTTGCTTGTACTGTCCACAGTTACAGTTGTAAAATCGAATACAAGTGGAAATGTAGTTAACAGTTTAGGTTGACTTGCCTCTTTAGTAGCCTTCAAATGCTCTGGCTCCTTTCTGCCTCAGGGCCTTTATGTTAACACATGCTCTTCTTTCCACCTGGAGGGCTCTTACCTCCCTCCACTTCTTACTTAGGCAGTTCCCACCCAGCCACTCAAGGTTCATCTTAAAAGTGTCAGGACCTCAGAGAAAGCTGCTCTGATCCACTAGGGAATAACCCACATTATTCCCTTTATAGCACTATGTTTCTTTTCTTTATTGCTTAAACTCCATTTCTAATTGCAGCATTTCATAACGTAATATCTGCTTTCTCCACCAGAGAAATCCCATGAGGGCAAGAATCTTTTCAGTTCTGTTCACTGTTGTACACCCAGCACCTAGCAGCTAGGTGCTCAATGAGCATTTTGTTATAATTTATTTCTTAATTGAAGGATAATTGCTTTACAGAATCAGTGAGTATTTTTGGAATAAAATTATGTTGCCATGTTCCTCATTAGATAAAGAGAACCAATATATATTCTTAAGAAGTATGACTTTTGGTTGATTTTTTACATTTAAATTAAGATGGCAGGGATTTAACTTGATTTTTTTCCCAGTTAGCCATTTGTCCCATATCCTACATTATTATGTAATTCAGTCTTTTCTCACTTTAAAATATTATAGTTAGTTATAATAAATTCTTAAATCTCTTTCTGGACTTCCTTTTTTGGTACATTGCTTTGTCAACCTAGGCACCATGACATACTATTTTAATCATTTTTGCTGTATAGTATATAATTACTTGATAGGCACATTCTACTGCATTAACTTTTGTTTCTATCCTGTGTTCTCCCAGGTAAAATTTTGACTATCTTCCTAAGTTCCAAAGAAGAAAACTCTATTGAAATTTTATTGAATGTACAAAGTAATATTTAGTATTGCCATCTACAAACATGCTTTGTTCTATCCTTTTCAATATTTTATCATTCATTGATCCTGAAAATTACTAAATTTTATTCTTAGGGATTTTTTTTTATTGCTGTCAGGATAAAATGTTTTTTCTTATTATATCTTATATGTGTTAATTGATGACATAGTGAAAAAACTAATTTGAGGTTTTGTATTATTATTTGTTTTGTACTTTTCTCATAAGTTTTCAGTTCTTTTAGGTTTTTAAGATAAACCAATAACAACTTGTCACAAACCACTTTTAGTATGTTTATTCCAGGATGGAAATATTTCAAAGCTCTCATATTGTTCTAGGTTATATTTGTAGTTTGAGATTAGGCATAAATATCTTATTTGCTTGTACTGTCCACAGTTACAGTTGTAAAATCGAATACAAGTGGAAATGTAGTTAACAGTTTAGGTTGCTTTAGAAAATGAATTAAAATTTGGATTTTTTTCCCTCTTAAACCTTTCATAAAGGATATTATAAATCAGACTTGACAAAACTATCTTAGTTCTAAAATGATGTTTTCCCTGTTTAGGAAGTAGTTCTAAAAGATGGAAGAATTGAAAGATTAAAGTTGGAACTTGAAAGAAAAGATGCTGAAATCCAGAAGCTGAAAAATGTGATTGCTCAGTGGGAGGTTTGTATATATTTAGTGTTGTAAACTAAAAACTTCTATAAATTTGTACATTTTCTGTTTTTATTATATGCAAATATGTTTAATATTTGATAGAAATAATATCTGCTATTTAAGTTTTTAGCTCATTGATTATATATAATCTAAATGATATATTTTTATCATAGTAAAATAGATACAACATTAAATTTGCCATTTTGACCATTTTTAAGTGTATAATTCAGTGGCATTAAGTGTTGTATAACCATCACCACTATCTGTTTTCAGAAGGTTTTCATCATCCCAGACAGAAATTCTGTACCCATTGAACTCCCTATTTCTCCTTGTACCACAGTCCTTGACCTCTACTCTCTGTGAATTTGCCTGTTCTAGGTACTTCATATAAGTGGAATCATATGGTATTTGTCCTTTTGTGGTCTGACTCACTTCACCTGCCATAATGTTTTCAACATGTATATCCACGTTGTAGCATATATCAGAACGTCACTCCTTTTTATGGCTGAATAATAATACTCCACTGTATGTTTATACCACTTTTTTATTCACCTGTTGAAGGATACTCATTGTTTCCATCTTTTGGCTATTGTGAATAATACAGCCATGAACATTGACGTCTAGTATCTGAGTCCTGGCTTTCCTTTCTTTTGGTACACACCTAAGAGTGGAATTGTTGTATCATGTGGTCATTCTGTGTTTAACTTTTTAAAATTTTTAAATGTTTTTAATTGGACTGTGATTGGTTTACAGTGCTGTGTTAGTTTCTGCTGTACAGCAGTGTAAATCGGCTCCATGTGTGCATCCTTACCCTCCCTCTCGAGCATGCCCTCGCCCCACCCTTCCGTCGTCACAGAGCACCAAGCTCTGCTCACTGTGCTGAGTAACACTTCCCACTAGCTGCCTGCTTTACACATGATAGTGTGTATAATATCAGTGCTACTCTCAACTCATGTGGTAATTCTGTTTAACTTTTTAAGGAACCGTCAGACTTTCCCATAGCAGTTGCACCATGTTACTTTTCCCCCAGCAATGCATAAGGTTACCAGTTTCTTCATATCCTCACCAGCACATGTTATTTATACAGTTTATTTTAACCACAAAACTATTACTCTTCTCCTTTCTCAGGCTTAAAAAAAAATCTCTTATTTATTTCAGGTAGTATTCTTTTTTTGAACTAATATTCATTCACTCAACGATTATTTGTTGAATGCCTATAATATGCCAAGTGCTTTTCTGGGCCCTATATAGGTACTAATGAAGAAAAAAATGTCAGGTTCCAGCTCTGATGGTTCTTACATTTCCCTTCCTCTTGTACTCGTGCCTTTAAGAATCATCCCTATTAAAAACCCTCCTGAACTTCACCCACTTCTCCCTTTTCTTGTCATTTATATTTTATTTTGCTTTTGTTGAGCACTTATCATGAGTTAGGCACAGTGAATGCAAAGGTGAATTAGTAAGAAGCTCGTAGTCTAATGGAGAAAATAAATCATGTAAATAATTGCAGTACAATGCAGAATTTGTAACAGATTTGACAGAGTGTTCTAGAAACAGGAATGAATCTGTTGCTGCTATTGAAAATTGCTAAGGATTTCACCCAAAAAAAAAGATAGTTTTCCCACATTGAACAGTGCATACAAAGGGAAGAGAATGGTAGGAAATGCATTGTTGCTGATATTTAGAGAAATGGGAAGTTGTAGGAGAGATTAGAGATGTTAGTTGAGGTGAGATTATTAAGGTATTTGCATTTTAGACAAGGAGAGGGCAGTAAAGGTTTTAGAAGGAAAGTGACCTGAAAGTTGTTTTGTGGAAGATAATGCACCTAGCTGAGGCCTGGAATGAAGACAAATCTGGTAACATAATTAACAGGTCTTGAGTGTTAAGAGGAAGAACACGTTTTTAACTGGTTTGGGAAATGGGAACTAACAGATCCCATGTTGAGTTGGACATGTTGAGTTTGAAATGGCTGTGGATGTGGGCATAGATGTTCAGGATGTTGAACATCTGTGTTGGACCCTGTGGAGTCACAACATATGTGTATTTAACTTTGTGTTCTCTTTTTCATGACATTAAAAGTACTAATGAGGACACTATATTCCATATGTTGTTATAAATTGCATAGTACTAGGATTTTATACTTTTAGGTTTTCACAGATATTAATATATTTCCTGTTCAGGACTATATATGCAAAACTATGTTATTTTTATGAGCAGTATAAGGAATTTTCATGGATAATTTTGCTCATTTACAATCTTTCCTTTATGAACTGGCTTTAGACCTTGAGGAGTAACTAACAATATGCCTCCCTATATACACTGATCTGAACCTTGGACAAAGGCTTGAGCTCAAGAAACAGTTTGATGAGATATTAACGTTAATCGAAGCCCTGAGAGTGAGAATTTCATAATGGATACAGTTCTGTATTCCCAGTAGATACACTTCCCTATTCCTAATGAGTACAGTTGTAATTGACTGTGTATGCTTTCCCTTCATATTTTTGTGTTTCCAGGGGACTTACCTCCCTCCTTCCTTTCCTAGCTTCTCAAAAGTCCACAAGTCCTACAACCTTTTATGTTCACTGTGCTTGCTGCTTCCATTCAGTGTGTTGTCTGCAGTATCACTGAATAACATTATTGCTTTATCCTCAGCAATTTACTGGACATAGTACTTAGTAAAAGTCATCTGCTGGACTTAATTTAAAATACATCAAATTTGTTTTATAAGGAAGATCTTTGAATCTGGTAACTTCTGTACATATCTGTGTACATGTTGAGAGAAGAAATGACAAGTTTCTTATATTGATCTATTTTCTTTGACCTCCTCTATTTCTATAATTATTAAATATATTGTTTTCTAAAATGTATTAATTTATTAAATATTTATAAATAGTTCAGTGTGTGCTATATGTTGAATAAAGGTACTATAGGGGGAAAATTATCTGGAATCTGGATGTTAATATGGGAATACAATTCCTAAATTGTTTATAATGTATAATTGTGTCATTTGTGTAGTTTGAAAAGGAGCCATTTTTTAAAAGTTGAAAATAACTGAAAAATATTTCAGTAGATTACTCATTTCAGCCAAAAATTATTTTAATAGTATTTAGTTAATGAAATAACAAAAGATTAGTAAAGCCCTAACTGAGCAAATATAGAACTGTACTGTATAGTAATCACTACACGTGGTATAAAATTAATATGCTACATGAATTTTAAATAAAAATAAATTTTTTAATTTGTAAAAGTAAAGGTTAAATAAATTAAAATTTTAATTTAATAAAACTAAATACAATTAAAAGTCATTTTCTCAGTAACACTGGCTATGTTTCTAGTAGTTAGTAGTCACATATTGAACAGTGGCAATTATAGAAAAGATAGAGAGTTCTAGTATAGTACTGTATAGAACTGTGCAGCATTTTTCTTTTTGTTTTCATGTAGTTATTTTGAATTGTATAAGGATTTTATTCAAGGAGGAAAAGTGACTCTTCAGAAAAATTTAGTTTTATTTTCTTTTCTCCACTTTTATTCTACTCTATTTATTCAGTCACCTGTAATGTTGATATATATATTATTATACTGGGGAGTTAAATAATATTTCTGAATACATTTTCCTTCATCTTGTTTCTTTCAGAAGTAATTTATGTCTTTGAGCAAGTCTAGAATTCATAGTTCCATAAGTTGGTAGTAAGGCATTTATCACATCATATACTTTTTAAAAAATTAAATCTTTTTATTTGATTATTAGGCAAAGTATAAAGAAGTAAAGGCAAGAAATGCACAGTTATTGAAAATGCTTCAGGAAGGTGAAAGTAAGTGATTTCTGTTTTTAGAATTAATCTTAAAAATATTTGAAGATAACTTTCCAAGATGTATGATTTATTAACTCAACAAAATAAAAGGTTTCCCAAAATGGTAGAATTGGATTGTTTTTGATAATTTTATGATTGCAAGTCTCTCTTACAGCACCTTAGTGTTACACAAGTTTACAATTATTGAAGTAAGAAACTCTTGAAATTTCAATTCTTATGAATTATTGGACCACATTTAGAGGGAAAACAGGAATAACATTTTCTTAAGATTCTATTTATTAATAGAGGAGAAGGCCTATCATCATTTCAGCTTTTCCTTCTCCCCTGTCTCCCTGTCCCCACTCTTCATACTTTTGTGGCCAGTCTAAACTTTTGGCTATAGATACCAGTAGGAAGCCAAGGAGCTCAATCAAAAATGACTAGAGATAATACTGGAGAAGGAGATGGCAACCCACTCAGTGTTCTTGCCTGGAGAATCCCAGGGACGGCGGAGCCTGGAGGGCTGCTGTCTGTGGGGTTGCACAGAGTCGGCCACGACTGAAGCAACTTAGCAGCAGCGGCAGCAGCAGAGATAATAACGTTAGTAAAGTTGATGTTATATGAAACTCCCCAAATCAGCTGCATTTCTGAATATGTATACCAAGTGGCATTGGTCTTGAAAGCTCTGTGAAAAATTTACATTAAGAACAAGTGTGTATTAAATTTGTAAAAGAAAATAATGAACCATATAAGACATAAAGACATGAATAGATGAGAAAATCTTTTATATAGATGAAATTAAGTGTAACAGACAATCTCCCTTGTTAACAAATGATAATGAAATCCCAAATATAGCTCCTGTGAGTACTGTATAGCACTTACGAAATTAAGAATTTATGAACCACACCTTAAAAGATAAGTAAACAAGATACCTAAAATTGTTTCAGGTATGAAGATAGTAGGAGTGGAATTGTCCAACCAAAATTTAAACTATATTAAATAGCAGTTATTAAAACAATATGAATAAAAACCAGAAATCCTGTCCAATTGAATAGAATAGTCTTCAAGTAGAGTCAAACATTTTTTATAATTTTACTATTTTTATAATGTAACTTAACTGTTACACAGCTTAACTATGATAAAATAGAAGTTAAATAATAATGGGATTGACATTATTTGAGGTTAGACATCAGCATCCTGAGATGAATTTAGATATATGCATGTCACTGAACTCCATGTGGATCATTTCATGAATAACATTATGAAAATAAAATGTTTACAAGATACATTTCTAATTGAAGAAATTAAGGGTATCATTGAATACTGGATGTATGATTTTTAAATATTTAAAAATAAAGTAATATTCCTTAGGGAAACAGTTGTGAAAAGTGAGAAAGTTAACTGATAAAAACTTATTCTCAAAAATAGACTAATATGGCTACCGTAAGTAATATCAGTGTCCATACTCTATACTATAAGTCGTCCAAGTAGAATAATTTTATATAGAACTATTACATGAAAAATATGATACATTAGAGTATACAGATGTTAGCATTTATAATATAAGTATAAATGTAAATATAGTCAGTTCTATTATAATACAATATGTGTTCCTAAAAATCACTAACCTTTACAAAATCATATAAAGACCACAAAATTTATAGAGAAAATGGAATTAGCATACAACATTTAAAGGTTTCATCGGTGACATGAAAAAAAATGGGAACTTAATTAAAAAGGTAACAGTTTTTTCATGTTAAAATGGTTAAACACATAAGTACTATAATAAATATGGCACTTTACTTTGAAGACAACCTAAAGTTTGCTGTAGAAGTTGGTTTTAGAAGGGTTGCAGCTTGTGTTGTTACTATTAAGTGAAGGAAGGATGGACAGTAGGTGTGGTTCTTGACAGTGAACTGAAATAGCTGGTAGGTAATTTCAGGTGTGTGCATGGCTGCAGTTTTCTGTATTCACGAAATTGTGCTTAAAACAAGTATATAATTCATGTTATGTTCAAGTTGTTCTCTGATGTATCAGTCTCTGAAACACAAAACAGCATTACAGAAAAACTGTAGTTAAAATATGGCATAATTGTTAAAAATCACTTGTTTCTCAATGAGTGTGCTTAATTCTAAGGATGAAGGAGTAGAAAGTATAATTTGTAAAAGTTCCCAGTTTGAGTCTTGAGAGACTGTGATATGTTTCTTGACACAGCATCTCACCTTAGTTCATATCAAACTGGGAAAAATTTGAATGACAGTGTTATATTGGAAGAACTGTGGTGATAGAGATTTCTTGCTTTCCTAAAGAGGGAAAAGCCTTTAGATAAGTGAATAGTTCTGAAACTATAGATGTTACATGATTAACTGTGCTCATATGAGCTACATTTATTTGATAGTGCTTTAATGGTATGAAAAGTCAGATGAAAATAATTTTTGTGGGCCTTAATGCACAATTGACAATTTTAACAACAAAAAAACCACGCTGCGTTGTTTTTAAAATCTTGCTTTGACTAGTCTAGATAGTTAAAGTTTTTTTCCCTATGTGAAATGTTTTATTTACTCTGTCCTTATCCTTTTTAGTATAGATGGAAAAAATTAATCTTTTATCATATCTGTACAATTAATATTTTACTGCCATGGAAAATGTAAATTTTCCGATGAAAACTGCTTTGGTGATAATAATGATCAGAATTTACCAGTGGAAATAAAGAGGTATATATAGGTTCAGGAATACAGTCATTAAGTATGAGGACAATTTAATCTTTGCCTGACTGCACTGCTGTCTTGGTTCACCAAAAGTATTATTGAAGTATCTGAGTGATTGAAAAGATTATACTACTATTTTTCCTTTTTTGTCAGTGAAAGATAAAGCAGAAATACTTCTGCAAGTTGATGAATCACAAAGTATCAAGAATGAGCTAACAATACAGGTAAGGAAAACTATTTATTCTTTTGTCCTGAATTAGGAAACTTGACTAAACAGAAAGACAGCCCTTCAGTACTGCAAAAAAAATGTTTTAAACCATACTTCATTATAATTGTGCCATGCTGTAGCAAATGAATGAAGATTCTGTTTACTGTGCTAAGAGAGGTGTGTATGTCCTAAAGAATAGGGGAAGATGAGGTTGTATTTTAGTTGATGTGGACTATGAATATAGGGTTAGAAAGGGCAGATAGAATTTCCCGTGTTCACGTACTTGATTTTCTCCCCTTCCCATCCTTATCCTGTGATCTTGTCTTAGAACAGTGAACTTGTCCTGCCTATCTTTATAATATACAGCTGAGCAAAATGCCTAATTGAAATTGTATGTGGGGAGAGAGGTTCTTTTCTGATGCTCATTAATCTAGTAGTGAAAAATCATCATTGCAAATAAGTGTTAAGAAATAGAGTATTGATCAAAAAAGTCTCTTTTAATTGAATATTTGGTTATAGGTAACTTCACTTCATGCTGCATTAGAACAAGAAAGATCTAAAGTGAAAGTGTTACAAGCAGAATTAGCCAAATATCAGGTATGCTTTTATAAGTGTTTTCATCACAAATAATACATTTAGAATAGATATATACATGTGAGGATAAATGTACTATTTTATTCTTAGGCCACAGTTTATTCACCAAATTTGTTATTATTGGTTATATAGTTTACATATTAGAAAATTTTTACTCTAGATATTGGTGTATACAGCAATAACTAAAGTAATTCAACATGGTCTTTGGTGCTACATAGATGATGTGGCATATGTGCCAGTGCATCCTATTGAGGGAAGGTCCATAATGAGGTTCATCCCATTACATTGTGAGTTTGATCACTTGGGTACAGCAATATCTCTTAGATATCTGATGGTAAAGGTATCTTCCCCCTTTGTAATCAATAAATAATATGTGACATTATAGTTTGAGATTGTGTGAATATTCTTTTTACTCAATGGTTTTAGCATCCATTGGTGATATTTGTAACAGTTATTATTTTGGTAGTTGCAAAAGAGTGATTTTTCTAATTCTATCATTTCTTCTGCATTTACAAGCTGGCATTGAGTACTTTTTTCTGGATGAAGCCATAAATAATGTCATGGCTTTCTTTCAGTATATGTGTACATGTGTGAATATCTACAAACACATATATATTTGTGTATACATATGTATATGTGTCTATGTCATGATGTAAAATGAGTTAATTAGTGTGGAGTCATAGTCAGAAAAGTTTGAAAGCCACCACTGGTGCACTAGAGAACACAAAAATTCTTTAGCTCCAGCTTTTGACATCATCAGTCCAGGAAGGAAGATTCCCTTTGGGAAGCTTTGAAAAGGATTGTTGGATTATTATTATTTTTAAAAAAACTCTTGTTTAGAAGCAAAGTAAGAGTTTTAAGCTGTATAACATTGGTAGATATGTATAGTGAGTATCTACCTTGTAGAAAGTTTTTTAGTAACTTTATTTTTTATTTCCCTCTGTCAGGAAATTAATCTTGTTTTTAATACCTGTCATTATACATCTCAAGTTTTACATAACCTCTTCAGATTTTTTCCCTCTGGATAAATCTTTTCAAAGCTTTTATTTGTTCAGGAGTGAATAATAGCATTCTTTATTTGATTTTTTTTTAAGAAGGTTGTTATAGGTATGTTTTTTAACTCTGAGGGGCAAGTTATAGGCAGAAAAAGGATGGAACAAAGAGAAGCTGCCAACATTATTAAATGGGTCTGGGTTCCTTGTGCCCCTCATATAACCACCACTCTGAGAAATGTACTTTCACAGGCAAGTCATTCCCAAATTTGGCTATCAGAATCTCTTGGGAACTTTTTGAATTACAGATTGTTTAGCCCACTCCTAATTATCATAAATAAATAGATTGGGACAAAGTCTGGGCCTCAGAATTTTAAAAATATTACTACTTAGGTGATTCTAGTGATTAAGTTTAGGTATCTTTGCCATAGTTTATAAAAATGAAAAATTATTAAATTATTATAAATACCTTATACCATTAGTGTTAATCAATTAGTCATGTCTGAGCCCATGGACTGTAGCCTGCCAGGCTCCTCTGTCCATGGAATTCTCCAGGCAAGAATACTAGAGTGGGCAGCCATTCCCTTCACTAGGGGGTCTTCCCAACCCAGGGATCAAACCCAGATCTCCCACATTCAGGCAGATTCTTTACCGACTGACCCACCAGGGAAGCCCCCATCAAACCATTATTTATAGTTAAAATGGAGGGTAGAATAGTTATGGATGATTAAATTTTCTTTTTTGTACCTTTGTGCTTTTCATATTTTTAAAATATTTGCTTTTTGAATCAGAGTAAGGCAGAAAATGTTACTTTAAAAGTAATTAATGAAAAATTACTTTCTGTCTTTTAAGCTACCTTTCTCTTTCTTTGGCTCAAGTTAAATACCATTGATAGAGTTTCATTTGGGGCAAATTAAATATAGATTTTTATATGTCACTGAGCAATATGAAAAGTATAATATTCTTTTCAACCCATTGATGAACAAAATCAGATTTCTAATGCTTTCTTACATGAACAGAACTATACAACACTTGAATTGGAAATCGAATTACCCAAAGGGGTAACGAAGCAATTCCCCAAATTTGCTGATCATATGGAGCAAGTTTATTTTAGCATTGATCAAAATTTTTATTTTTTAAAAAGATCTGGGACAGTGCAGATGAGCTCTGAAAAATAAGATACGGGTAATCATAGTAAGTCCAGACTAATTCAAATAGATGACTGTTTTCTACAACCTACTTTAACCATTGATAAAAGCCATGTAAAAATAATTTAGTTGTATGTTAATTCAAATTTGCAACAAACTCAAAAAGAAGTTTCTTCCTTTTCATAGTCAAAAATGCCTTTGATCTCATTTATTCTTAAAAGGAAACTTCCCTCCAAAATGTTACTTTCTAAGTAATTTACCCTATTTCTCTTTGCAGGGTGGCAGAAAAGGGAAAAGAAACTCTGAATCCGACCAGTGTAGGTGATTCCATTAGCCTTTGAGGTCAACACAAAAGGAAAACTTTCAGGGTTTTGCAAAAATGTATATATTTAATGCTGTGCAACTGCTGAACTATGCAGTTTTTGTTGAAGAAATTTAAAATGATTAGCTCACTAACAGTGTATAATTTTATGTCCTTTTGGCTTAAAGTGAAAAGAAGAAAAATAGAATTCCAGCAGAACTCACTGATTATTGTATACTATTCATACTTCTTATCACTTTAGTTTTTCATCAGTCAATAAAATTAATTTACTCTTCCATTAATATGTTTGGTTTTTTAAATTTCAGAAACAATGTGAAAGTGTGGCTTTTGTTCATAGCGCAATCAGTTTCTTGGATTTCAGCTCACTGAATATTTACCTAGCACTTTGTCCATCCTGAACCTTATAGGACATACAATATATCGCCAAATGGCCTATGTTCAGGCAAAACAGAAGATGGGGGTAGGAATGATTACCAAAAATAATTACCATACATATTAAGAGTGTGATTTCACATTGTTTGGAAATTAGAAAACTTGCATGAGATGGTTCTTGGAGGGTGGATACCTTTTCTGTAAATTTTTTGAGAAGCATCCCAGGCAGAAGAAGAAGAAGCAAAACCTGGGCAGAAATATTTATGTAAAGCATAGTCTGACTTGAGGATCAAAATGTGACACTGAGAATAGGAAGGGTGTTGATTGGGGGGGTGAAGATAGGCTTGTCATTGGTATAATCAGTTAGTAGTTTACGGGATGGAGTTTTTTTTAGTGTAGTCAGTGAAATACAAATATGATTCATTAAAATACAAAAGTTTTTTTGTTTTATAACAAAGATAAACACATAAATACTGGTACTGGCCTCCAAAACCAGCATTATAAGAAAGACTCCACTTCATGACAGTCTTCAGAAAAAATACTTTATGTCATCATTACTTATATGTCTGGCTTCTTCCATAACTGTGACTTACTGTTCTCAATGTTTAGTTCTCTATGTGGATCTCAAAGTAGATGTTAAATAATTATTTGTTTAATTAATTGGTAAAGTAGTAAAGGTTTTTAAGATAATCTCCCTCTAATTTACCTTTGATTAAGAGTAGGTACCCTCAGAACCTAATTAATTAATTATATTTGGTAATTCATGATGCCATATTTTTCTACCCAGTGATGAACAAAATCAAATTTCTCATGTTGACTTATATAAACAAGCTATTCAATAGAACTTGTATAGTTTCCATTATAATTGAATTACCAGCGCCCATCATATTATCATCTGCTTTTGATTAGCTACCTGTACACTATCCATTTGGTACATTATCTAACATCTAGCACAGTGCTTGGCAAATATTTCAATAAATATGCCGTTTTCTACTAGTGTAAATATCAGGCTTCACTGGTCGCTCAACAGTAAAGAATCCTCCTGCAACACAAGAGATGTGGGTTCAGTCCCTGGGTTGGGAAGGTGCCCTGGAGAAAGAAATGGCAACCCACTCCAGTATTCTTACCTGGAAGATTCCATGGTCAGAGGAGCCTGGCTACCATCCATGGGTTTGCAAAGAGCCGGATATGACTTGGTGACTAAATGACGAGAGCTAGTGTGTATATAGTTTAAAATTACCTGGGCACATAGAAAACTTCATTGATTATTCTCTTTTTGCCTTGAATATTCTTAGGAGTACTGCATTCATGACTTTGTTTTTCCCCCTGAATTTTTTTCCCTTGATTTGTGTATCCACTCCTATGGATAATCTTATTATTTCCAGGCCAATGTCTCAACAGAGAAGGCTTTAGTAAGAAAAGACAGTCAGTGATCGGTTAATGAATTCTTCTGTTTGATTTGTCAGGCATTCTATGTTATTAAATACCATTCCTCAGATTCTTTTCTGTTTCCTGAATGTTCAGTGAAATTATTGATAGCTTATTATGTACTAGGCACTGTGCCAAGTACTAGAGATGTAAATATGTCCACAATCAATTGGAAGAAAATAGAAATATAGAGAAATATTCATAAAATATTCCAGTAAATAATTATATATTCAAATTGCTATTGGGGTACAGAAGAAAATACATGTTATTATTTTAAATATTTTATATACCTTCTGTGGGATTTTTTACATTTTCTATAGTGTGTTAGTAATAGCCAACACTTATGAACTACAGCTATGTTCAAGTCCCAGTTCTAGTATAGCTGTATGGCCTTGGCTCATGCTAAATATGCATGAAATTGCAGCATGAAATTTGGTATCAAATGAGAACAGCTAGTGAAAGTATTGGGTAAAAAACTGTGTAAGATGTCATTCTTACGTTCAAATTATTTTCAGTCTAATATGAATAAAAGCATAGCACTTAAGTAACTAAAATTCAAAATAGAATACAGTAGATTCCATAAGAATTATATGGAAGTAAGAGTATATTTGTTCAGTGTATTCTATATTCTTATTAAAACAATAATGTTTTAATTGGTTAATAGGTAGCTTTCCCAAAGAGTTTTAAAGGGCAGAAGGTTGTTTGATGAGAAAGGAAAATTTAAAAAGTGGGGTAAAGGAAAAGCAATGTATGTGTTCAGGGAATAGAAAGATAGCAAGGCATGTGTTGAGAAAATTGAGTGTCTTTATTTTTCCTGGAGCATAGAAAGTAATGAGATAGCCAGAAAGGTTGTTTGGGGATAGCTACCCTTCATCTGAAATTTTAAATTAAGAAATCTATGCATAATTTGGTAGGCATGTGGAAGCCATTAAAAGTTTATATACAGAGAAGTGATGTAACCAAAGTTGTCCTTTAAAAAGATTGGAAGGCAATGATGTAATAGGAATTATTGAAGAATAAATTTGAAAATATAAAGGAAGCTTTTATAATAGTAGAAACAGGAGGTAAAGAGGATCTGAACTGAGGATAACTATTCAATTTAACAACTAAAGACTATGAATAGCTTTTTCAATGGCACAGATCAAGGCATTGAGGGAAAAAACTCTTAACACTTTTTGGCAGTTACAAGACAGGGGCTCCAAGGTGCTTTGAAGGGACTACAGAATTGAGTGAGGGTTGGTCAGTTTAAGACTGAGTAGACTTTTACGACAATATATTCATGAACCAAAAGGAGCCAGTTAAGAAAAGAATGAGACTAGGGGAATGGTGGGCTTGCTTCAGAGGCTCATCAATTAGGTATTTACTTTGTTGTTGTTGTTTAGTCGCTAAATCGTGTCTGACTCTTTTGCATCCCCATACCCTGTAGCCTACCAGGCTCCTCTATCCATGAGATTTCCCAGGAAAGAATACTGGAGTGGGTTGCCATCTCCTTCTCCAGGGGATCTTTCCAACCGAAGGATACAACCCACATCTCCTGCATTGCTGGTGGATTCTTTACCACTGAGCCACCAGAGAAGCCCTAATATCACCTGGGAGATTTATAAAAGTACCAACACCTGTGCCTCATCCACTACTAATTCATCAGAATCGGTGAAAAGTGGGGCCCAGAAATAAATATTTCTTAAACTTCCAAGGTGATGCTAATTGTGTAGCATCCAACTTGGATACTAACTACCACTTGAACAGATAAATTCAATACATACGTCAAACAAATGCATTTTGGTTGTTTTGAGTGGGTATTTTATAAGGTACATGGCAATTTGTCTTAAGAATTAACATTCTACCAAAATTTTTGCAGGATTCCTATCAGTTATGGAGTGTTTCCATCATTAAATTTATCACAAGTGATAGTGTATACTTCTGTACTATTTTACATTAAACATGTATTATTTTTGTAACTTTTAATAAAAGATAAAAACATTCAATAATTACATTTTATAAGATAAATTTGCATTGCAGGCAGATTCTTTACCGCTAATCCACTTGGGAAGCCCTAGGTATTTACTTGCCATTGTGTAATTTGGTTTCCTTATCAACAATGTTTGATTCATAGTTTAATTCTAAATTAAGCTGCTTTCTATTAATGGAGTTATTGCCTTTTCCATATAACAGTTTAAGAATGTTTAAGCAGAACTCAAGGACTTAAAAAAGAAATATAAAATGATTTTGTGATCGGACATTAGTAAACTTCAATGAAGAAATAATTCCTTAAGCAACAGACAGAAAGTGGACGAGCCTCCAAAGTCTGTAAATTACTGAGGGATTGTCCTGGGGTAAATTTTTAATTGAATTTAAAATGTTATTTACTTAAAGTTAATACTCACTTCTAGTATGGTTGTTATGAAGTAGATACCCATATGTACTATTAGCAACCTTGTACTTAGATTTCTGCCTTTTGGAAAAGCACTATAGTAATACGTTTCAGGAACCAGAAAAATGTTTATACCCACTGATTCCCAATATTGGATAATTTATCCTAAGAAAACAGTTTGAGAGAAGAATAAACTTTAAAAGATCTATACAAGTATAACAGTATAACAGCGAACCATGGAGTAACCCAGATGTATAGTTACAGTGTCTAATATAAATACCCAACTCAAATGATAACACATCAATGGGATTACTGTGTAGCCTTTTAAAAAGGTATAATTCGAATAACTGTAAAAACATTGAATATCTTGAACAAAGTTTAAATACAAAGACAAAAATTTGTACACTCATTATAGCTAATGTGAAAATATATATATGGATATGGATAAATTGGAAAGTAGTAATTCCCAAAAAAGTTGCTTGTGTTGGGATGGGGGAATATAGAAAAGTATGGATGGGTTTTCCCCCTAAATTTTATTGAACATACCATTTTTTTGTAATTAAAAAAAGGAAAAAATACTACTGCTTGGATATGTGTTAAGTAATTTCCTGTTATGGAAGTAGGTTGTAGTAACTTATTTTTTTGACACGTTCAACTGAATTGTGTTAATATACAACATCTCCTGGACATGAAGGTTTTGTTTTTTAATCTAGGACTCTTACACTTTAATAGAACTGAACCAGGGAAGGCGGCTTTATGAATCAAAATGACTATGAGGCTGCAAGAAAACTTGTAAAATTGTAATCAATTTTGATGATTTTTCCCTGCTTGATGATTCCCTTTCCTTTTGATGATTTTTCTAGCTTGATGTTTCCCTTGTTATACTTCTCATTCAAAAAATTTCAGAACTTTAGAAGTTTTATTATTGACATCTATTCAAAAATTATTTTGATATGCATATTACAAACTAAAATTTGAATTATTTTATTGTATAAATTATGGTATGCTCCCTACTCTGAACTGGTTAAGGAAGATGTAATTTTCTTCTTGATACCTCACTGTACATAATATGTAGTTATTATACCATTTTATATAAAATTAATTTTTATA